TAAGCAGGAAGAAGGCCTTGGAGGGGAATCCATTGAACAGGGGAAGGGTAGCCAAGGATGCAGTGAAAGGCAGGGGAAATGCCTCCCTAGGCAGAAGTTGCTACTGATGTTTTTAAGAGTGTTAGTGATGAGAGAGGGCTTTTCTGTAATATGAAGCTGGAATGCTCCCACATTTTGGTTAATGTGGGTGGCAGGGCCTAGGAGGTAAAGAGTAAAGGAACATAAGGAAGATGGGAGGTAACCCAAGGGAATTCCAATAGGTAATTGTGGGGAGATGCATAAGGGGGCAGCAATGGGGATAGTTGCTTATGTTGTCAGGGGTCCAAGAATAGGAGGTGTGGAATTGACATAGGGAGATAGATTTCATAGCTAGGTATGGAGGAGAGCAGCAGCTTGTTGGTATGAGATATAAGGGGAGTTTTTGCTGAATTTTTCTAGGAAGTAAAGAAATTATTCGGGACGGTAAAGTTGGGGGTCACTGAAAGAGGTTCAGAGGTGTAGGGAGAAGGGGGAGGTTGCCCAGTCGGCTGGCAGAGCAGGGACAGCTATGTAGTAGGAGGAAGAGAGGGAAATGCATAGGAAGGATTGGAGATTGTGAGGAGGGAGTGGGTGAGGTTGATGGTATGCTGGAGATAATTAGGGAGGGGTAGAGGGTGGCAGGAGAACGGGAGTAAGACAAAGAGTAAGTATTAAAGAAAAGAACTTCATCAGGATGGAAGAATTGGAGAGTACTTTGCCGCAGAAGATCATCTATCCACTCTAAGAGTTAAGGGTGGCAGCTTGAGGGTGACACCATAAGGTATCAGCTACAAGGGTCTGCAGGAGAAGTGTGAACGGGCAGTATACACAAAAGCAGGGCATTTAGAAGCAGGTGAGAATGGTGATTAAGGGCATAAGTAGACAGAGTTTAAATAGTGAGGTGACTGTGTAAAGGCCTATTGTAAATAAAAGGTATACAGGGTTATTGTTCTTTTACAGGAATGCGGGTAAGTTTAAGGGAAGTGGGGGAGCAACTTCCAGGAGGAGGCAGGGGAGCTAGGTTAGTCATCGGATGGGCACAGTTTTATCCTGGAGTGATGAATCCAGTGGTGAGGATTCTGTAGACAGACCACGGTTGGAGTACTATAGATGACCAGGTAGGGTCCTGTCCACAGAGGTTGTAGAGTTTGAGGGGTTATGAGAACTGACAGTCCAGCTAGGGTGTCTTCATATGGCTGGGTATCTGGAGTAGGTAAAAGGAAATTGGCAGCTTGGCAGATTTTATGTCTAACCTGTTGAAGGGCAGGAAGATAATCACCAAGAGGACTGGTGTTTGGAATAAGGTTGGGCCCAAGAAGAAATGTGCAACCCTATAAGAGTTTAAATGGACTGTACCCGGTGGGTTCCCTGGATGTGGCTCAAATTCAGAGAAGTGCAAGGGGTGGAAGAGTGGTCCAGTCTTTCTTAAGCTGGAGGGTAAGTTTAGTGAGGTGTGCTTTTAAAAGGCCGTTGGCTTTTTCTACTTTTCCAGAGGACTGAGGGTGATAGGGGGCATGAAGATTCCATTGGATACCAAGGGCTGGCGAATGAAGGCCAGCCTGTTATCAGACTATGGAAATACGGAGACCGAACCAGGGGATTATGTCAGTTAAAAGAGACAAAATAACTGCAGTGGACTTTTTAGAACTCGTGGGAAAAGCCTGAACCCATCCAGTGAAGGTGTTGACCCAAACCAGGAGGTATTTGAGTTTCTGGACATGGGGCATATGAGTAAAATCAATTTGCCAATCTTGCGCAGGGGTGAACCCTCGTGCTTGACACGTAGGGAAAGGAGGAGGTTTGGGAAAGCTCCGGGGGGTGGTAGACTGGCATATAGCACACTGAGAGGTGATTGTTTTAAGGATGGATTTCCAGGCTGGAAAAGAAATGAGAGATTCTAAAAGGCAGAATAAAGGTTTATATTCTACATGGAAGTGGTCATGAAAGGATGACAGAATAGAGTAAGCTTGAGAGGCAGAGAGGAGCTTTCCATGATCTAAAAAATAGTTGCCTTGAGTGAGAAGTGACTGGTAGGTTAAGGTTTTGGAAGGGCAGTAGGTAGGAGTGATAGATGAGAAGGAAAAATATTGGCCACTGGGAGCAGATACTGGGGAGTTTGCTGCTTTTTTGGCTGTTTTATCGACATAGGTATTTCCTGGCGCAATGGGGTCAGAGGTTTTTGGCGTCCTTTGCAGTGGATTACTCCGGCTTTGGCTGGAAGGAGGGAAGCTTAAAGGAGGGCTTTTATTAAGGGGGCATTGATAATAGATAACCTTTGTGTAGTGAGGAAACCTCTTTCTGCCCAGATGACAGGATGGTGGTGGAGAACGTGGAAGGCGTATTTGGATTTGGAATAGATATTAACATGCAGTCCTTTGGTAACAGTTAGGGCACAAGCTAGTGCTATTAATTTAGCTCGTTGAGAAGTTGCAGGTGGGGAGAGTGTGGCAGTTTCAATGATAGATGAGTGAGACACAACAGCATAGCCAGCTTTACCTGGTGATGATCAATTGGTTTTTGAAGAACTGCTGTCAGTAAACCAAATGTGGCCTGGGTCAGGGATAGGGAAAAGGGAAATACGGGGAAAAGTAGAGGAGGCTATGTGGATTAAGGAAATAGAGTTGTGTGGATTGGGATTTGTAGTGGGTATTAAGTGAGAGGCTGGGTTGAAGTCCAGTCCGAAGGCAATAGTTACTGTGGGATTTTTGATAAAGTGTGAATAGAGCTGGAAGAGGCAGGGGACTGAGAGTATGTGTTTTATGTATGAAGAGGAAACTAAGTCTCGGAGATTTTAAGAGTTATAAAGGGTGAGTGAGGCATAGCCTGTGATTTTGAGAGACTCTAAGAGTATAAGGGCTGCTGCCGCTGCGGTGTGCAGACATGATGGCTAACCCAGGACTATAAGAGGAAGCTGTTTGGATAAATAGGCTACTAGTGGCAGGCCTGGTCCCTGAGTAAGAATACCTATAGTGCAGCCCTGCGTTTCTGTTGTGTGAAGGAAAAAGGGTTGAGAGGAGTCGAGGAGTGCTAGAGTGGGGGCCATCTAGGGTCTTTTTTAGAGAGTAAAAGGAGGGGCAAGGGAAGGAATTGGGATCTGTGGGTTCAGCTAAATTTCCTTTTGTGAGTTTATGGAGTGGTTTGGTTAGGATGGCAGAACCTGGTATCCAAAGGCAGAAGTATCTAACAATGCCTAAGAAGGAGAGGAGTTGCTGTTTGGTCGTGGGGATTGGAGTTTGGGAGATTAGCTGAATATGGTCTGCCAGAAGTGAATGTGTACGTTGATGGAGGATTATATCAAAATAGGTAATGCTAGGGGAAGAAATTTGAGCTTTGGAGGGGGATACTCTGTACTCCTTTGAGTAGAGATGTTGAAGAAGCAGGATAATGTCTTGATGGGAATATTGGTAAAAGGGGCTGCAAAGAAGGTCATCCACGTATTGAATGAGATGGGAAACAGACGGATGAAAAGAAAGCAGGTCATGGGAGAGGGCCTGGCTAAAGTGGTGTGGGTTATTTCTGAAACCTTGGGATAGAAGGGTCCAGGTGGGTTGTTGGGACTTGTGGGTGTCAGAGTCAGTCCAAGTAAAGGTGAAAAGGGGCTGGGAAGAGGGATGTAAGTGGATGGTAAAGAAGGCATCTTTGAGGTCAATAACAGAATAGTGAATTGTGGAAAAGGGTATTAAAGATAGGAGAGTATAAGGGTTTGGTACAACATGATGGATGGGGAGGACAATCTGATTAATGAGATGACGGTCTTGGACTAGCCCGTAGGACTTATTTGGTTTTTGAACAGGTAGTATGGGAGAGTTGTAAGGGAAGTCGGTAGGAACTAAGAGGCCATGCTGCACTGAATGGGTAATAACAGGCTTTAGGCCCCTTATGGGGTAGTGGTGTTGAGCAGGATAGGGTTGGTTTTGTGTTAATGGGATGATAAGGGGTGAATGGTCAGTTGCAAGGGAAGGAATGGAAGTATCCCATACTTTAGGGATGAAAAGGGAGGTTGGAGGAAGGGTTGGAACTGGATAAAAGGGTAGCTATGAGACGTGGTTGTAGTCCAGGAATATTCACGGAGGCAGATAATTTAGTTAAAATATCTCTGCCTAATAAGGGGACTAGGCAGGTGGGGATAACTAGGAAGGAGTGCAAAAAGGAGTGTTGCCTGATTTGACACGAGAGTTGGGGAGTTGTAAGGCCTTCAGAAGCTTGGCTATCAGTACCCACAACAGTTGTTGGGGCAAGGGAAACCGTCCCTTGAAAAGAAGGTAACGTGGAGTGGGTAGTCCCTGTATTGATTAAGAATGGGACAGACACCCTCCACCATAAGAGTTACCCGAAGTTCAGCATTCCCAGTGGTCTAGGGGGTCTCCCAGACTCTTGGGCAGCGTCAGTCTTCAGCCGCCAAGTCAAGGCGATCTGGGAAGGAGTCGGTAGGGGACCTTTGGGTTTGAGCTCCAGGAGCTCCGGAAGTGGTGATGAGAGTCAGTCCCATTTCCGGTGAGGGCCCGCACAGGCGGGGCACCGGTTATGAGGAATCCCAGGCTGCAGGCATTCCTTAGCCCAGTGGCTAGGTTTTTGATGCTTGAAGCAAGGTCCTGGAGGGGCTGTTAGATGCTGCGTTTGGACACCTTGAAGTTCTTGCAGGTAGGCAGTGCAGCTGGGGTTTGTCTTATGGTGGAGGCAAGCATCTGTAGTTCTGAAATGCGCTGTCGCAGGTCAGCCTCTTCCCTATTATTGAACACCTTGAAGGCGAGGTTGATTAATTCCTGTTGTGGGGTTTGAGGGCCAGATTCTAATTTTTGAAGCTTCTTTCTGCTGTCAGGAGCTGACTGGGTAATAAAATGCATGTTAAGAATAAAAGGGCCTTCTGGCCCTTCAGGGTCTAGTGCTGTATATTGCCTGAGGGTGGCCCTAAACTGAGCTGGATTTTTAGCTTTGTTCTGAGTGATTTTTTGTTTGTTTGTTTTTGTTTGTTTTTGTTTTTGTTTTAGTTTGTCATAATTGACGGCTTTACATGCAGCCTTCTGAAGTCCTTGAAGTAGGCAAGAGATCGTGTAGTCCCGGCTGGCTATGCCGTGGTCTTGGGCCTGGTAAGTCCATCCGGGGTCTTCAGGAGGTACTGCCCTAGAATCTTCTTGGAGGCCAGGCTCAAGGCACTGGCGGTTATCAGCATTAGACTGAGCTAGGGTGCAAACCCGCTCTTGCTCCTCAGGAGTGACAGTAGAGGTGAGGATGACGTTTAAGTCAATCCAAGTAAGATTATAGGACTGGGTTAAGTATTGGAATTCTTGTATACATTTGGAGGGGTCAGATGGGAAAGAGCCTAGATGTTGGCTAATTTGGGAAAGGTCGAACAGGGAGAAAGGGACCTGAACTCGAACTATTCCTTCGGTTCCTGCCACCTCTGGAAGGGGAAATTGCTAGGCAGGGGCCTGGGGGTTGGCCACAGGCCCAAATTGTAAGCCACACTGGATGTGAGGAACGGTGGTAATGGGAGGGACATAAGGTGGTGGGTTCTGTGTAGAAATAGGTTCTGGGGGAGAATTGGGAGCAGGTTCGGATAGGTGGTGGTGGGGAGAAAGATCGGAAGGGTCAACAGACAAAGAGGAGTCAGCAACGCCAGTGGAAGAAGGAGGCATAGACGGAAAAGAAATAAGGAAAATTTGGGATGGATTACATTGGGAGCATAGGCTGGGGAGAGGTCGTAGCGTAAAAAAATGCCTGGATGTAGGGTACATCAGATCATTTGCCTATTTTGCCATAGAAGTTATCTAAGTCCCACAAAATAGAGAAATTGAAAGTGCTGTTTTCTGGCCACTGAGAGCCATTGTCTAATTTATATTGGGGCCAGGACACGTTACAGAAAAAAAAAAAATAGATGTTTAGCCTTTAGATTGGGCGCAAGCTGAAGAGGTTTGAGGTTTTTGAGGACACAAGCCAGAGGGGAGGAAGGAGGGATGGAGGGCGGGAGATTGCCCATGATAGAACAAGGGAAGTTTTGGGGGAAAGAAAGAGACAAGGAAAACAGCAACCACTAGGATCCTCGGTGGGCATCCCCAGTGGAGGTCCCGGGTTGTGTGACTGGCAAATGGTCAAGGCAGGCGTCCCTGGCATTGACCTAACACTGAGGGAAGACTGTCTTCCTAAGAAGAGTCCGTGACCAATGTTGGGTTTCTGAAACACGGATAAGAGGAAGGTTCCTTGTCTCAATTCTGAAAAGAGAAAAAGAGAGGGAGAGATGAGGAGAGATCGAGGCAGCTTACCCGATGCACAGACAGAGGCCGGAGTGCTCGCGGGGCTGCTCTGAGGTCCTGAGGTCGAGGGAAGTCTCTTGCACAGGAGAACGTGGGCACGGGGAGGATAGGGGAGAGGTCTCCAGGAGGAGTTCCCCTATCCCAGGCTTTCAGCACCAAATGTTATGCGAGCGTCTAATTAGAGAGACAACCTGAACAGGCTGTGTGAGCAACAAGGCTGCTTATTCACCCGGGTGCGAGTGGGCTGAGTCTGAAAAGGGAGTCAGCAGAGGGTGATGGGGTTGGAGCTAGTTTTATCGGTTGGGGTAAGCACTGGAAAGTTACAGTTAGGATCCGTTTATTGCGAGCAGAGGAAGAATGTCATAAGGTACATTATCACAAGCTTATAGAGCACAGTGTCACGAGGTTGATTGATCAGTTAGGGTAGAGCCTGTTACAATGATAGAATGTCGCAAGGTTGGCTATTCAGTTAAGACAGGAACTAGCGGTTTTTCTTCTTTTGTGCTTTTCCTGTTGTTCCAGACTTTCTGGCTCCAGGAGACCTTGTGGATGTGTACGTGTGGGTCATAGGAGTCACGATGGCTTGACCTTGGCGCAGCCTGTTCAGAGGACTTTACACTGTCTTTTGTTTATAGTAGCTTCAGCCATAAAACTACCTATCGGTGAAGAAACTGTACCACTTCATTTCTTCCACAATTGGAAGTTTTCCCTCATCTGTTTTCTGATATTATTTTCTAAAAGCTCAGTTTCATTTATTTTTCATCCCACACATTTACAGAATAATATTCAACCCAAGATTCCAAGAAAAGTGCATAAACATTTCAGAAGTATTTTCAAAAGCTCCTTCTATTCCAGTTCTATGCTACCTCTATTCTCAATGTTTCTATCTCCCTGAAATCTGAGCTCTGTCTCCTTAACTCCATGAGACTGTCATCTTCTGTTTGGGCGTCCTCTTTTTGCACTTCAGTCTGGAAACTGACTATATAGAAAGCTAGAAGACTATGGCCTTCAGTTAATATATTTCCTCTCTCTCAGGAATCAACGTTCACTACTGTTTTCCAACTCTTAAAAAACATTGTTTCTTCTTTCGCCCAATTTTCTAATTTTGTAGGAATAATATGTATATTTACATTTTCTCTATTTTGATCTTAGTCAAAATAATCCTCCCCCCCCCCCCCACACACACACACACATATGCTGTTCATTTAGTTTCTCTGGAGAAACTTGACTAATACAGCTGGCAATTCTTTCTTTCTCTGCTCTTCTTCTTCTTTGGAAATGAAAGTGTCTGTAATTGTTATACTATGCCAGATTCACGATTACATGTTGGGGACAGACACCTTGATTTTTAGTTTAATTATCTCATAGATAGAGAGGAATTTGTCTAGGGATGGGTCATATTAATTACTTTAATTTTGCCTTTATCATTTTTTAGGGTACTTTCCACTATCATATGCAGTATAATGCTGTGCTTTAAAGTAATTTTTATAAATTCTTTTCTTTATGGTTATAAATCAAGCATAATATATGTACAAACACTTATACAACACACATACATACATATACATACACACAAACATATATACATACACACACAAGTGCTTGTAATTAAACTCAATGAAGGGTGAACCACAGAAACATGAAACAAAAAAAATATCATCAAACTTAGGAAGCGAGGAAAAAGGCTGGCTAGGGCAAAAATGAAAAAACACCTCCAAATCTTGTTTTGCAGATGTAACTTTAAATCTGCAGAAATAATTTACATAATTTTAAACCTGAAGAAACTTTTTGAAAAGACAATTACTGTATTTCAGAGACAAAATAAAACTGGAAGCTAACTGTGTATTTTTATGTTTTACTCCTGCTTTTCTTAAATAAATGGAAACCTAATTTGAACACTTTTCTACCTAATTTCCCTGAATATAATCTGAAATTGTTCCACAGAACTATTTAAAGATATTCCCCCTTCTTTCCTTGAGCTGCATAATATGGCATTGTATAGATGTTCTGTAATATATTTAATTAATTCCCTATTTTTTTTTCTTTTTTTTTGTACTTATAAATTATACATTTGTCTTTTGGGGTTGTTTTTAATATATCTTTGGAATAGATTCTTAGCAGTGCGATTGCCAAATTAAAAAAAAAAAAAAACATGTATATGTAGTTTTACTAGATATTGTCAAACTATTTTATACTCCAGCAATTTGTAAAACAACATCTCGATAGGTAAATATGGAGTCAAACTTTTGGATTTGCCTATCTGTAAAATGGAAAATGCTTTCTTCAGTATAGTTTTAATTTGCATTACTGTAAGTGAAGCTGAATTTTCTTTTTTATGGTAAAGAAAATTTGCCTTTTTTTCCCTGGAGGACACTCTTCACATTATTTACCTGTTTCCCCATCATATTTTAGGCTTTTCATTCTCCATTTTTAGAATTTCTTTGTATATTAGGAACATCTACATTTAGTCTTCACTAAGAATTGCAAATAAAATTTGCCTGTGGTATCCTTAGATCTCCATACTTTTTTTAGGTTACAGTCAAATTTCTCCATCTTTCTGTTGTTGGGTCTGGATTTTAAATTATTAGTAGAAAATTTTTGCCTCATTCCCAAGTTTTAATTTTATCCATGTTTTATGACTTGAATATTTTAGATTTTTATATGTAAATCTTTGATCAATTTTAATAATTTTTGTGTAGATTGTGAGAAAAGGGTCCAGTTACATTTTTTTCTGTTAAAATTATTTGTATTGAATTCACTTTAATAAGAATTTTAATAATTTATCCTACAAATTAAAGAGGCTAATTTCATTGCATATTACATTTCCACATATGACTTGGCTTGTATGTTATTTGTACTGTTGGTCCTGTTGTTTATTTATGCAACAATATCACATTTATTTTAATTATTGAGGTTTTATAATTTGTTTGAACATCTGGTAACAATTGCCCCATCCATTGCTGTTCCATTTTATGCCTTTTGTGGTCATTCTTGCTTGCTTAATCTTCAAACTGATTGTTATAATGAACTTGTCTAACTCAGGCAAAACAATCAGACAAATAAATAAAAGCAAAAACTTAATGGTATTGTCATTTTTTGCATTAAATTAACTTGGGAAAGAATGACGTCGTTATGATATTGAAGTTTCTTATTCAAAGATGATATAGGCATTCTCATTTGCTTAAGCTACTTTTGTGTCTTTTGGAAGTCTTTTACAACAGTCTTAGTAAGATTTTGGATGTTTTTCATTAAGTTTATGGTTAGGCCATCAGATTTGTCTTACTATACTTTCCAGATATTGTTTCTGTCAGTGATTTGGCCCTACCTGCATGTATTTTGGGACTCATGGAGTTACTTTGTCACTTGGTTTTACGGTGTATGTTGGCTGTGATAATTTTTGTTGTTGTATTCATTTTTATGCTATATTTGGTGAGATGATTTAGGGATATTAAAAAAAAATTGCTGCCACTGTAACTTTGCCAGGCATGTTCAAAAATTTTTGAGTCTACGTATTTTCTAATATAAAATTTCTGTTACCAAATATGCAAAATATATTTCCAGGATTAGGTGATAATTATCCCAAAGACACACATCCAATCACAGAAACAGTATAATGTATAAAATCCTGCTATTTAGTGCTTACTAATTAAGACAGACAAAGCAAATGGAATCTGCAAGAACCAGGATAATTGATTTGGAACCAAACATTTCAGTTTGCTTTGTCCAGCTGTCCCTCTCAATATGTGAACTTTGGCCTTGTTTTTATTCCCTATCTCAAAGAAAGCAGATATTTTAGTTCAAAGCAAAAATTTCCATTTAATTCATAATTGTCACATGCAGAAGAGAGTTTGTGAATTATTTTACAACATTGGCCTCCATGAAATTTAATCATGTTATATAAATTCAACTGGGGCAAGGAGTTACTGAACAAACGTACAGGTTATTAACATACAACTATCTACAAGGAGAAGGTAGGGAATGATTACTGGTGGAGCAGGACATGTGGAAGCCATTCATCTACTTAACAACACGATCTCTCTAGTTATGGTGGCTCTGAACAATTCTCTGGAAAAAACTGTAATGCTAATTGGGCAATGCTACAATTTCCGTAGAGTGGATATAAGAAGAATAATTTCCCTCTCACAGTCTGGAGTTGTCTCATGCAGAAATGAAATCCTTTTGGTAGTAAGATGGTCATTAAAAACAGTGACTTACACAGGTTATTATACTTTCTTTCTCATAAAGAAATCCAGAGGAAGTCAATCCATGGTGGTTCCTTTCTACTCAGCCGTTCTTAATGTATGATTTTTTCTATGTGAGGTCACGTCACTGTCACAAGACGCTTATGGAGGAACCAGACATAACTTCTGGTGCCAAGGAAGTGGGAATAAGACAAATATTCAGGGAAATAGGCAACTTTCTAGCTAAATTAGGGCCCTTTTCAAACATTGTTCTCAGAAGTATTACTTTCCGTTTACATTTCATTCACTCCTAGTGGCAAGGAAAGCTGCAAAAGTTTGTTGTTGTTGTTTTCCCATCCTGAAATAACGTTGTTATGCTGTTACTAAGGAAGATAAACAGAATGGATATTGAGTATGCAGCCATCCTTCTCTGCCACAGGATTAGATTACATTTACCATCTGTCTGGTTGCCTCTTTTTTAGTCTGAATAAGAAAAAAACAATTGTAATACTTGTAAGTTAAATTTTGAAGATAGCATTTTAATAGCTTTTTTTTTTTTTTTTTTTTGCACTTTTCTCCCCTAACTACAGGTATTATCATGTAGCTGTCTTTAAAAATCCAGACAAAACAAACATAACAAAAGCATTTGTTGTTTGAGTGATTGGGCACTCATCCTGAAAAACAAACAAAAAAGAAAGAACTGTGCCATTTAATCCTTATATATATTTAAATCATTTGTTGGTTTGTGTTCTAACATGTTTAAGCATTCTACTGCTTTTTGTTTAAAAAAATCAGTACAGCAACCATGAAAAGTTTAACACCCAGGCAGATCAAGATGAATGTGGCCATTCTTGTTAAGTAGGACATTGCTTGCTCTATAGAAAGAAGATATATTACCAGGATAAAATGATATATATATATTTCTGCAACATCTTGTTTCCACACTCCATTAGAAATGATTACCACCACAATGCTGTATGGGCTGAACAGGTTCATATTTCTCTAAGATACAAGGGCAAGAAAAAGACCAGCTGCCAGGACAGTATGACCCAGTCTACTGCTCTGCCTG